CTCTTCCAACCCAGCTTCTAGTCCATATCCATATTCTTTATACTTTTTTAAATTTAAGATAGGGTTTCATTTAGTTGTTTCAGATGGCCTTGAGCTCACTGAAGCCTGGGTAGGGCTTGAAATTGCCACTCCCTTGCTTCAGCATTGCAAGTACCTGGACCAGGCCCAGCTAGCCAATAGACTTTGGAAGCTAGAGCACATAGTGGAGTGTAACTTCCACCTCACTGTTGGGCAAACTATCACATGGTTAGTGAAACATCTAGCTACCACAGGCTGGGAGGAGGCTGTGAATTAACCCAGCCTTGCACATGTGAAAGGACTGACCACCTTGGTTGCTGTTGGATCAACACAGAACAGGAAGACAGCAGCCAGCTCTGAGCTAGTCTAGCTCCATTCTACATTTGACTGTGAAGGAGGGCAAGTTTGTTTGAATTCTTGCTCTATAGAAAGCATGTGAAGAGGCACAATTGTTAAGCTACAAAGCTTTAGATGGTTTGTTATGTTGCACAAGATAATTGGAATTGATAGATGAGCAAAAGATAAAAAAAATGAACAAACAAAATGGAAAACAACTACATACATGAATACTGTAACCAGTTGTGGAAGGGCATACCCCAAACCATTAAATAGCACATCTGGGAAATTGAGCTGGGAGTCCAGGGTGGGAGGGAGCACTTTACTTGTCATTAAATTTGGTGCAATCTAAAGTTTTAACCATATACATTAGACTTGATACACATTGATATGAATTTTTTTTGTTCTATTTACATGCACAGATGCTTTACCTGCATGCATGTTTGTGTACCATGCACATGCCTGGTGCCTGAGCTAGACAGGAGAGGCTGTTGGATACCCTGGGACTAGAGTTACATATGGTTGTGAGCTGCCATGTGGGTGCTATCAATCAAACCTGGGTCCTCTGAAAGAGCAGGCCATGCTTTTAACCACTGAGCTATCCCTCCAGCCCTGAGACTTGATCATTTTTTTTTTTAAAAAACGTAATGTTTCTTTTTAAGTATGTGTATATGTACATACAGGTGAGTGCTCATGGAAGCCAGAGACATCAGAGTCCCCTGGAGCACGCATTACAGGTGACTGATGCCTGATATGGGTGCTGAGACTGAATCTGAGTCCTCTGAAGCATGCTATGCACTCTTGACGAATGAGTCCCATACTTGAGAATTTTTTGAGAAACAGTTTAAATTTCAAGTAAAGCTATTTTGAAAAAGTTAGTTCACAGCACTTGTATTTTGTTTTCACAGATTTCTTTTTTCTTTCTTGTGCCATTTTAGGAATCAGAGCAGAACTGTGTACAATAGTATCTTTTGGGCTTTTCAGAAATTCTCAAGAGCACAGCTGTGAACAGTTTTTGTGCATGCCTTCAGATTTGGAGAGAAAAGAATATATTTAATCATGTTTAATTTAGTAAGAAAACCTATTTCCAGCAATAACAGAGATCAAAGTCAATGTTTCATCTCAATTCATGATTCACTTTAAGGTTTTTGCTTTGAAAGATGATGAGATACAGATTTTAACTTTCATAAACCTGGCATGTTGTCATGCTGTTGAGACCACCATTCTCACCATCTCTCTCTGGCCTAATTCTCATTTTTATAAAATATAACAAAGATTTTTAATAATATCATTTGACCGAAGCATTTGGTAAAATACATACGGACTCTTTTTTGGATGCAAATCACATCTGGGAAGAGTGAGCAGATTGTCATAAAAGAGTGTTGGGCAATGCGATTGTTTCTGAATTGGGGTGTGATTACTTGAACCCCAATGTTGCATCCCTCATGTTTAGCTTACTGTTGGGGTCCATGGATCTCAGAATGTGATGTGATCTTAGTGGCTTATCAGAGCCATCTCAATTCACAGATAAAGAAAGACACTACCAGGCAGTAGTGGTGCACATCTTTAGTCACAGCACTCAAGAGGCAGACACAGGAGGATCTCTGTGAATTTGAGGCCAGCCTGGTCTACATAGTGAGTTCCAGGACAAGCTCAAAAATAAGAGAAACCTTGTCTCAAAAAACAAAAACAACCAAAAAAAAAAAAAAAAAAAAACCCAAAATAAAAAGGCACTGTAAGTTACTTTAAAACTTCTCAAATGTGAACATTCATTCTTTGGATAGCTTGTTCAGACAGACTGCTCCAAGCTCCTGGATCTGTGGGGTGGAGTGAGGTAGGAAACTTTGCCTTTCTGATAAGTTTTAAGTGATGCTGATAATGAGAGGACACTACTTTGGGAGCCAACTTTCTCCCATCCTCTTGTGATTTTGAGACAGGGTTTCTCTGGGTGGCCTTGGCTGTACTGGAACTCACTCTGTAGACCAGGCAGGCCTAGAATTCACAGGGATCTGCCTGCCTCTGCCTCCCTAATGCTGGTATTAAGGGAGTGTATTGAGGTTTAATAAGGATCAGGAAAAACAAATAGGCTGAATAGATGTTTATTCAGGAAGAAATAACTTACAACATAGACAGACGAACACCAGCAGGTTCCTGTCCCAAGGATGCCTCCCGATGCTCTCCTGTCCCCATGCTGCAAGCAAGAGAGCTCCCTGAGCTCAGCGCTCCCTCTTCAGACTTAGTTCCCCCAGGTAACATCCACCTCTGCCTCTACCCCCAATGGGCGTTACCTGTGCCACAGGTATGGACAAAGTGATTATCTCACTACAATTCCCCTTTTAGTCTAAAGAAAAGATTTAGGCTTGATACAAAACTATATACAAAACAGTGAATAACAAGTGTGCTCTAAGAAAAGGAAAATTGAGAACATACAAACTTAAGACCTACATATCTAGTCCTAGGATGAAGGTATAAAGGAGTTTACAATAGAGTTGTCCTAAGCTGGAAAGCTTAAGTCTAGTACCTAATACATCTAACTAGGAAGAGAGAATAATAGTTGTGATAGTTTAATCTTCAACCTCATCAAAGACCTGAGAAGGAAAATAACACTACAAGGGTAGGCAGGAAGTGCAGATGGGCAACTTCCAAATGGTGCAGCGAGGACAGAAACAGCAGACTACCTGGACAGTCACCCAAGGTCTCACAGCAACGTTGGTACACCCAGTTTTGGCTGACAAAAATATGAGTATTATTGACACCTTTGTGTGGAACACACCCAAGTTTTCTGTTTCTGCTCATATATTTGGCTCAGATTGCTGTTATGTGTCCTCCCTTTGCACTCACAATGCATGGTGTGTGTCCACTTCTCAAATACATTTCTTTTTTACTTATTCTGATGGTTTTGAGTATAGAAGCACATGAAATAGCACCTTAGAAACATGTTTGTACTCACATTCTCTATCATTAGCATGTCACAGCCTTATTGTATTTGGAAAATGACTCTAGGTGTGTAAAGAAACCAAGTGGATGAGGTTTGAATGTTCAGGTAATGATTAACAGAAGAAAATTCCATCTCTGTGCCTGGAAGATGACCTCCAATGTGTATCATCACTGAGTGTGATTTGCTGCCTTAGTCTATGGAGTGAGAATGAGATGCTTCCTGCATCTATGCCAAGACAAAATGTCGTAACTGTCTTGTGTATCTGCTTGAATATTCATAATAAAATACTACAATTTGGGTGGCCTTGACAGGTAAGAATGATTAGACAAGATTGTGAAGATGGAGGATTTATGTAAGAAGAGGTACTAGAGAGGTCTCTCTTTCCTCTCTCTCTCTCTGATCTCTTTCTCAATGCTCTCTATCCACATGCATGCACACACATACATACTGAAAATGCTGTAATACATACATACATCATGAACTTGGCTATTTGCAAGCTGGGATGGAAACACTGAACAAAATCTGAGCCCTGACAGACCTTGGTCTTGGACTTTCAGTTGTGAAGGCCACCCAAATCCAGCAATACCATCATACTGGGGGTTAAGAATTCAACAGCTGGATTGGAATGGGAGGGACATAAAATCAACCTACAATCCTGTCAGTTGCTCAGCCACTTCCTGGAGTGAGGGAATCGAGGTTAGTAGTACATTTCCTCATTAAGGTTTCCTTCTTCTGGGAGCTTCTACTGCTGGTTGCCACCAGACATAGCTAGAAAAACCAAAAATAAAACAAGGAACAGTCTAAATTTTCACACAAGCTACTCCCCTTACAAGAAGATGGCTCAGCCAATGAAGGGGCTTGCCTCCAAGCCTGCTGACATGGGTTCAAATCCAGCGACCCACATGGTGAAAGGAGAGAACCGACTTTTATAAAAAGGTGCCTTCTGACCTTTACATGTGTGATAGCATGCTTGCCAACACATAAATAAACATGAAATAAATATACTTTATGAAGGATGCTTTTATGGTAAATGTAATTATCACAAACTTTTCTTTTTTTCTAGGTTCTAAATCTCTATAGTCTCTTAAGTTGGGTACTAATTTGTATAATCATGGAGCTGTGATCCAGGTGGAGAAGCCTTTGGCTAGTTTTTTTTTCTGAGTGAATATGGAAATCCACTTGAAAATCTGAGCACTTCAGTGGGCACATTCTGAAGTTGTGATAAACTAAGTGGCCCTGTATTGTGATCTAAAAGTTTGTAGCAGAAATTATGGATGTTGCATGCTTCTAAAATTTCAACAATTTACTATTTAAGCAATATGATTCTTTTGTTAAACTGGAAACCATTGTGTTCTCTTATTAATTTTTTTTAATGTTTGTTTTTCTGTGTAGTCCTGAATATCCTGGAACTCACTCTGTAGTAGATCCATCTACCTCTGTCTCCTGAGTGCTGGGATTAAAGGTGTGTGTCACCACCACCTGGCTAAAATTAGTTTTGAACTGATTATTCAGCAAAAGTTGGTTTTACAGGTGAAGTGAGTTAAAATGGAGAATTAAGAGCAAGATATAGAAAGGGCAGAGTACTCATATCCCAAAGGCTCTCAAGTTGGAGATTATTTCCCATTTGGAAAGAGACTCACACTTACCCTCAAGTGTTTGAATCATTGCCATGCATCACTGAGAAGAGCGTACATTTCAACTTCCACAGAAAGCCAAGCCCTTGATGACGGAGTTCTCAGTGAAGTCTACCATCATTTCTCGATATGCCTTCACCACAGTTTCCTGCAGAGTGCTCAACAGAGCTTCTGAAGACCAGGATGTTGAGTTCCAGATGCAGATTCCAGCAGCAGCTTTCATCACCAACTTCACCATGTAAGTGGTGTGATGGTCAGAGGCAGACAGTTGTTGCCTCTGGTCAAGGTGAACCTGAGAGTATGGGGTCTATAGCCCATCAAACTGCAAGGATTCATATCCTGTAGGTGGTCTAAGAATCAGAGGTTTGCTTGCCTGCTTTCGTTCCACTCTCTCCCCCTTCCCTCTCTCTCCCTTCCTCTCCCTCCCAAATTTCCTAGCTTCCTGTTTCCCTTCCTTAACTTCTTTTCTAACATCCTTAACTTCCCCCATTTCCCCCATTCCCCCCCTCCCTACCCTCCTCTATTTTCTTCTTTCATGAACTGCTGAACTGCAGCAGCCTTTCTCTACCCTTCTGATCCCACCAGAGACCAGAGAGAGAGAGAGAGAGAGAGAGAGAAAGAGAGAGAGAGAGAGAGCCTACCTCAAGCTTCCCTCTTTCTCATTCAGTCTGCACCTGAAGCCACACCCAAAGGGGCATGGCCACTAGCACAAATATACTGGCAAGGCTAGATACTGCTACACTTTCATTCCATTCTTCCTCATATTTTATTTTCCCCTTCCCCTCTTTCTTTCCTCCTCTCCATCCTTCATGTCCACTCTAGAACAGCCACTCTTTGAGGGTATCGGTATAAGGGAGGAGAATATTGCTCTACTCTAGAATTTCAGTCAAGGAGAAACAGTAACTATGTACATGAATTAGTAAATGAGATAATTTAGCAGTAAACTCTACCAAATAAAGATCGAGAGGGACTTTTGTTTGTGTTTTTTGAGACAAAGTCTTACTATGTAGCTCAGACTAGCTTTGAACTCATTATCCCTCACGTCTCAGCCTCCTGAAGGCTGGTATTATAATCTTCACTATCATGCTTGTGAAGAATGGCTCCATTGGGAAAGGAGTTCTGGGAAGTGGCTTAGAGGGGGCTATGATTAAACTGAAACTGGAATAATGAGACAGTATGAAATATTTGAGATATTAGAGCAAATATATTTCCTCTTATTTGGATCCTAGAGACAGAGTTCTAACTGTGGTAGATATTTTGTGTTTAGTTTTTATCTGGGAAAGGTGCGAGCTTCTGTGTTCCCGTGGGAGTTCGAGATCTTGGGGTACCCTGGATGGGGTTGCTGCCCTTTGGTCTTGAGGAAAATTGCTCTTGAGTGGAATGCATGATGCAAGACTGGTCCTGAGTCTGGAATGCATTCTATCTGCATACCCAGGAGGCGCATGCAAATATTTTCTGGGGTTGTCATGGCTCTGAGAACCATGCTCGAGTTTGTCTTGGAGTTGGTAACACAGCTGTGCCTTGTGTTTTAGGCTTATTGGAGACAAAGTGTATCAGAGTGAAATTACAGAGAAAGAAAAGAAAAGCCATGATAGGATAAAAGAAAAAAGAAACAAAACCACGGATGATAATGAGTAAGTACCAGTTAATTAAGCAACTAGAATCCAATTAAAATATTTTTTATCCTTTATCTTCTTGTCTGTTATCTTCCTCCAAAATGTTTTTAGCTTTAATCAAAATAATTACTATACCTGATAATAAATGCAGCAGCAAACACTTGTAATAATAAGGAAGGTTTACTGTGCCTATGCCCCACTCTTGCTTTCTAGAATATATATCTCTAAAAATTGTGTACAGCTGTCTTTATAGTTGCCTCCCCAACTCTATGATTTTTATTGATTCCTTGATTAAAAACAAAACATTATTTACAGACTCTGCTATGAAGAAAGTTTACAATACCATTTTTAAAGCCAAAATTTTGTAATGTCATTTTTCTTCTCCATCAGTAGACTAGGCTAGGCCATCTGGCAAGTGATCCCATGCTAAGATTACAGGTGAACATGGCCTTAGCCAGCTTTTCTGTCCATGCTAGGGATCTGAATTCAGGTCCTTGGTTTTGTTCTTCAAGTACTTTACCCACTGAACCATCTTTCCAGTCCCAGAATTTCCTTTGTAAGGATGACTGATACTGACAGGTACTGTCTAATACACAAAGATTTTAATCCTCCTCTACTAGACCAATTGGAAAGTTTCTTTTCCCTTTACAGAAAAGTCATTTTAGTATCTAAACAAAAGGTTTTGCATTTATAAATCTGATTTTCTTCATTGATAAAGGGACATTGTTTGGGCGAAAACTAGTTCTCAAAAGGCACAGGACTTAGTAGTCAGAAATGCCATCACTGAGAACAGAAGGGCTTGGGTTCACTTTATTCTGAAAAGCAAACCAAGCCCAGAGTGCCAGATAGGGGATATTCAGATATGGACAGACTGCTCCATGTTTATCCTAACATTACAGTTCTCAAGGACACAGGATGGTGAAGCAATCTAGTCAAGGTGACATTGATGGCTTTACACACAAGCCTGCTTGTTTTGAGCCTGTTCAAACAATTCCTCATTGAACCTTTACCGACCCTTCCCCCTTCACACAATCCTATGCTCCATCTCTATTATTTGGTGAGATGCTGCACAGTGCCTCTGGATGCCCTCTTTCTTGGCGCAGCAAGTTATCAAAAGCTTGCTTTGTTGAGCTACAGCATCCCGGGTTGTCTTTATCAGAATTGTTCAAGTGATGGCATAGTTTAATTTAGTTGGACTGTAAGTCCTAGAGTTTCTAATTGCTTTTCCTTTTTCTTAGGAGATAGAATTTAATTTTGTCACTGTTAACATCCCTGGGGAGGAAATCAGGCTTTGCCTCCCTTGAGCTTATTCGTGGTCCCTTTTTCCTTCTTGACAGGGAGAAGGAGACCGACATGTTCAGAGCTTCTTTAGTGATTCCGAGTAAGGACAAGGCTGCTCTCCTCCTCAGTTATGAGGAGCTTCTGCAGAGGAGGCTGGGAAAATATGAGCACTCCATCAGTGTGCGCCCTCAGCAGCTCGTGGGGAGGCTGACTGTGGAGGTGAATGTTCTGGAGAGGTCGGGCATCTCGGCCTTGGAGGTGCTCCCTCTTCACAACAGCAGGAAGAAGGGCAGTGGAATTGCAGAAGGTAAGTCATGTCTGATGGTGCTTGGGTATTATGGGATGCTCAAAGCTGGGACTGGGATTTCACCAACTCTGAAAAAAAAAAAAAAGGCACCCCTTTCCATAAAGGCTTCAAATGTCTGTGTGAATTAGAAGAAAGTCACAAGGTAAAGACAAGGCTTTGAGTAATACTTCTTCTTCTTCTTCTTCTTCTTCTTCTTCTTCTTCTTCTTCTTCTTCTTCTTCTTCTTCTTCTTCTTCTTCTTCAAGACCCAGCTTCCATCAAGAGATGAATAAACATTTAAATTTTCTTTTTTTTTCTTGACATTGTAACCCCATTCTGAGGAACTGATTGTAGATAAAGTTTCTAAAATATTGAGAGTATTATATCCAGGAAGCTGATCATATTTCTCAGACAAAACATCCTATTAGTGTACATATATAATGATATAGGAGCAATTAATAATGAACAACAATCAAAAGAATTGAGCATGAGATGGGGCAAAAGACAAAGCACATCAGCACACATGATAACACTATGTGGAACACAGCAGGAGACTTAAAGTTATATAAAACTATGTTTTCATATGAATAACATAAGGTTATAGGTATGTTGTTTTATCAAAGTTCATCTCTTCAATGGTGAGTGGGCTGGAACCTAAGGCTTTGAAATGTTAGTCAAGAGCTCTGCCATAGACCTATTCTCCTAGCTCAGCCAATCTTCTTTTCAGTATTCATCAATGCTATATTCTTTCCAAGATTACATAAAGAAAATGTTTGCAGAAAGCCTGTTGGCATGAACCTGTGATCCAAGCTGCTTGGCAGGCTCAAGTGGGGGATCTGAAAGTGCATCCTGAACTGTGTGTAAGACCAAGGCTAGACTGGACAACACAGTCAAACTTCCAAGGTGAAAAGTCAGAGGGCATCTGGGATATAGCTCAGAGAAACAGACTTTCCTAGAGCAAGTGCAGTCCAAGGTTCAATGCTCAGTACTGGAAAAAAAATGTGTTCTGATCTATAGATGATATTAAACAGCTATTTTTAACTCAGCAGAAGCTCTACATTCAGGCTTTTCTCAAATTCTGATTTTTTTAAAAACAGCATTTAACTTAGTGTAGTAATCATGAAAGATTTAAGGTGGTATAGATATATGCTTTAAAAACTGAAACTTGTTACTGTAGAAGCTTCCAAATACATTATATATATATTTACATATTATATATTTTTTCTTTTATTGAAAATAGATTTCCCTCCCACATAATATATCCTAATTATGCATTTTCCCTTCCTTTTCTTCTCCCAGCTACTCCTCATCTTCCTTCCCATCTAGATCAATCCCCTTCTGTTTCTCATTAGAAAACAAACAGGTTTCTAGGGGATAATAATAAAACTTAATACAAGACAAAACAAAAACTAACACATTAGAGCTGGATAAAACAAACAAGCAGAAAGAAAAGAGCTCTTGAAAAGACACAAGAAACAGAGACCCATTCATTCTTACATTCAGGAATGAAAGTGGTCTATTTTCAATCATCATTGATTCCAAATAGCAGTTTGTGTTAAACACTTAACTTGTATCTGTCTCTATGCTTGGCACTCGAGTACAGTCGAATGTCAAATCCAGCCAAATAATAAGATAACCATAGTCGAATATCACACCAGGGTTGGAGTGACAAAATTTCAGGTGTCTGTGACCTTGAGAACAGGGGAATAGTAAATGAGACCTGAACAGGTAAAAGTACAGAGTCAGAATTAAGTGTTCATGGCTGCTCAGAGAGTCCAGAGCAGGCACATCTTAAAGACAACTGAACTTGGCCTTTGCAAGCCACATCCGACTGTGATAGCCAAACTGTTGTGATGGTGTCTGACATTCAGAAATGGCAGGAAACACAACCCTTCATCCTCATGTCCTGTGGGGGGTAGTTACGTGGCTTGTAGATTTTTGTGCAGCTGTTGGTGTAAACTGGAAGGAGATCATTGCAGTGGTGTAGAACAGAGCTCCCACCTGTGTGCAGCTGGGGCAGAGCCTGTCTCTGGGGGGGGGTACCTGAAGCCTCTTCACCCAGAGTAAGAGCTAAATAATTACTGTTTTATTGCTATCATTATTTTACATCCCATATATTTATTCTTTCTCTCTAGACATCTTAAAACATATTAAGTGCCTTCAGGGGAGTATCTGTCTCCAATAAACCATTGTCACTTTGCAGGATCTAATCTAATGCCTTTTAGATATTACATACCACTAATACAGCATCTTCAAAAGCAAATACACAAAGAATGGAGAATGCTTTTTAATTTAATATTTCAGTAATAGTAACTTTAGAGGGAACTTTTCTAGCTTTAATGGTTTGAAGAAGTTTATTCAGTGAAAAAAAGGTTCCCGGAGGCGGTGGAGTATGATAGAAGTAAAGCGTTGTGAAGTGTGTCTTCCATGAATACACAGGGTCAATGAATATATCCTTCGGTTGAACTGAAGGCAACAGAAGTGCATGCTTGCCTAACTGCATAGCTCTTCAGAACTGGATAAGTGTTGCATGCCTCTGTTCATGTGTATGTTTGGACAGGTTATGAGTTAGACAGTCAGTCAAACAGTTGCTTATTGTTTGTAGTTGGAGCTTATTAATATCTCCAAAGAAAGTTTCCAGACCATCGATCTCTTCAGGCCTGTTTACTAGAAGAAGATTGGTTTCCCAGGTCTTTGTAGGAGAGCAGATCCTCTGTCTTCCAGAACATGGGGATTTCACAGGGGTGTCCTCTAGCCCCATGCAGGGGTCAGACTTGCTCACGGATGTTCCTTATTGGCCTTTCCAACTCAGTTGTTGTTCTTCCTGAGAATGGTGACCCCAGCAGCAAGGAGCACAGGATGTTGTGGTTTTGTCTGAACAGACTTGTATGCTTCCAAAATAAATCGAGGACAGAGATCACATTAGAGTCAGGCTTGCACCAGAACATGTGCTGGCACTGAGAGAGTGTGACCCGAGGCTGGCTGTTCATTTCTCAGATAGATCCATCTGTGATTAAGAAATCTGATGTCTGCAATTTGTGTAAATGAGTCTCTGACCCATGGCTTCCATTTCATCTTTTTAAAAAGTGATTTATTTATTTTTAGATTAGAACACAAAGCCATGCGTTTCATCATGGCATCTTCATACACATGTGTCACTAGACTTCATTCTCATTTGTTCCTTTCTCCCCTTCCCTCACTCATACCCCTCCTTCCTTCTTGCTGGCTCCACACCATCTGTCAAGCTAGTCTTCCTTTCTCCTTTCTCCCCACAAATATTCCATTACTCCCTGTCTTTTCTGGCTCTGTTAGGATCTCATTCTTCCTTCTCATGATCTACTTTCCAGTTTCATGTCTTATACCCATAGATACACACACACACACACACACACACACACACACACACACACACACACACACACGATTTTACATCTAGATTTTGTATGTAGAAGTGACTTGTAGATTAAATGACAGGTAGATTGATCTTGTTGAATCTTGCTTACTTTGTTCAATAGTATGATTTCTACTTGTGTTGGTCTTGAAGCATGCATCTTGCCTGTCATTTGTTAGGTACTAGGCAGAGCATGTTGCCGGTAACAATTTCTCATTCAGTTTTTATAGCAACCTTATTAGTCCATATTTTTTCATGCTTGTTTTCCTTTTGAAGAAGCAAGACTTATAGATGTTGTCTGACAAACTTTTCCTGGGGTGTTGCAACACACATGTCTACTCACTCTAGATAAGGAACCCACGAAAGACTATAAATACCATCATTGTCTAACTTGGTGAACCAATGAGCTTTTACTGGGGTTACTGTCTTAGGGTTTCTATTGCTGTGAATAGATACTTTGACCACAGCAACTCATATAAAGGACAACGCTTAATTGAGGTGGCAGCTTACAGCTTCAGAGGTCCAGTCCATTATCATTATTTCAAGGGGCATGACAGCTTGCAGGTAGATATGTTTCTGGAGAAGAAGCTGCTACAGGTTGATATGGAGGAAACAGAAGTAGACTGTCTCACTGGACATAGCTTGAACATATATGAGATGCCTCAAAGCCTCCTCCACAGTGACACACTTTCTCCACAAGACCACACCTATTTCAGTAAGGCCATTCCTCCTAAAAGCGTCATCCCCTCTGGGGGCCACTTTCTTTCAAACCACCACAGTTATCTATAGAAATATGGTTGAGGGCTTACTTGCAGGAGCAGAAATTACTCAAAGACAGCTGCATCACTGAAGCCTGTAGCTGTATTTTCTTTGGACTGCCAACTCCCAAATGATGACATGGAGACTTTTTATTTATTTCTTTTCTTTTTTTTTTCAATGTTTGTCTCTTTTTTTTCATTTATTTATTTATTTATTTGAGACTTTTTATTAATTACAGAAGCTTGGTCTTGGCTTCTGCTTGTTCCCAACTAGCCCTTATAACTAAAATTGACCTGTTTAATTTAATCTCTGTTCTGCCATGTGTCTTGTTACTTCTCCTCCATGCTGTATGTCTGACTTACTCCACATCTTGCTGGTGAATTCTCTGACTCTCATTTTCTTCCCAGAGTTCCTATCTCTTCCCAGAAGTTCCACCTATCTTCTTCTGCCCAGCTACTGGCCATTTAGCTCTTTATTAAACCAATCAGTAGGTGCCTTGACAGAGACACATATTCACAATGTACAAAAAGATTACCCCCAAACAGAAGCCCATCCCAGCATAGCTGATAGCTCCCAAACGCTGGGAGACCTGGATAACACTGCGTAGCCTACAGACAGCTTAACAGGTTGGAGAGTGTCCTTTCCAAATGCTCTGTTGGTCTTAACCTCTTCCAGGCAGCTGACTGTTCTGGTTCTTCCAGGTAGCTAGTTTGGTGAGGGAGTGTTCTTTTGCACCTTGGCCTGTGTGAGAGTCTTCTTTGCAGTTTACTACTTACTCTTGTAGGGGAGGGGCCTAGTGAATCTGGTCAGTTTCAGGGCCTTCCTAGAGCTATTTGGAGTTGTTAAAGACCTTCTTGCAGGATGGAATGTC